CAATCTGATTGTTTTTATGATTCACAATGATGTCAAAATTGAGGAAGGAATACTTCAACGGTGCGTGTTCCGTGTAAAGTTAAATTTAAACTAGTGAAGTTATTTTTACCACTGAAAAAAGGAAGAAACTTTGTATTCGGGTGTATCAACATTTTTTCCCCAAAATTAGTGGTTCACCACAATTAATGGCGTACCACAATCAAGCATAAGAATGGCCCTAGCGATATAACATATCAAAGTTTCTTCAGTCGCGAGTCGAATGGCATTAGATTTTTTCCTAAAAAATCAACTGTCCTTCAACTTTCGTGAAAACTTTAAAATCGTGATTATTGTTCGTTTTATAAAGGAAGTTTGGTTTTAATGGTTTGTCTTCAGTTCAATTCACATTCACTAGGTAATACAGAAGCGGTTTTCAATTCATTCCCCCTACCTGCAAATAAGTTTATTGTCGGCATTGTCCGATTGTTTTGAAAATTATCATGCGGACTAACCAAGCCATGTCAAACATATTTCGTTTTCATACTTAACCTTGTTAGACCACTAGATACACCATAAAACAGATGATCATGCGAGGTGAGGGGACAGGAACTGGTGCAAAGTTGGCGTGATTTTGATTTTAAATAAGATTTCTCTAGCAATAAAAAAGAAACCTTATGATCAATTTTCTCTCTTTGGACCTGTTTTATAAAAACAAAATGTTAATAATGAAAGATGCTAGAATTTTGGAGGCTGCAGCGTGATAGCCTTTTTTTAAATAATGAAAGTTTTAGCGATGATTACCTCAAATATTGTAGTTTTCAATCTAAACCATTTGCCTTCTAATAGAAGAAGTAGCAGAAAAGTTGGAAAAGAAATGAAAAAGTGCGTTTTCGAACTTTTTGTCCGTTTGCTTCTGTAAAATTTTTGTGGTCGGAGCATTCTGGGTTGTATGCAAAACAATGCCTTTTATTTTATATTTCGTAAAAAAGACTTGACCATCATGCGTTAAGTTAAATTTGGCGTCAACGTGCATTGAGTATCCCGCCACACGAATACTTGGAGTGGACCCGAGTTGGCATGATTCTACGCGTAAACCAATCTGATTGTTTTTATAATTCACAAGGATGTCTAAATTGAGGAAGGAATACTTTAACCTTGTAAAACCACTAGTTACACCATAAAATCGATGATCATGCGTGGTGAGGGGCAGTAACTGGTAAAAAAAAATGGCGTGATTTGATTTTAATTAAGATTTCTCAGTGGAATAAAAAAGTAACCTTATGATCAGTTTTCTCTCTTTGGACCTGTTTTATCAAAACAAAGTGTTAATAATGAAAGATGCTAGAAATTTGGAGACTGCAGCGTGATAGCCTTTTTGTTTAAATTGACAGTTTTGAAAAAGTTTTCTTTTGGTTTCCTTGTTCATGGCAACTTCTCCAAGAATATATTGGCTATGCTTCCTGTGCCGAGAAAAACCAGTTAAAGAATTTTTTCTTGCTATCTGTTCTGAAGCATTCTATAAGATTGTACATGTAATTCGAGAATATCAGGCTAAACGGTTTGAAATATTTACGCGGTTAGCTGAGACTTAATTAGTTTATAATTTGGCCTCAATGATAGACCGGTTACAGGTTAAAGTTTATAGAAAGAATACTTCAAGTTGTTTTTCTACAAATTGTTTTGATATTTTGAAACTGGGTTCTAAGGTCGTGATTGTGTCCGGACAAGTGTCCTTTTAATTTTTTCTTTTTCATAAAAGTATTTTAAATGTTCTTGGTTACTGTTTCGAGTGCATTTTTGCCATCGCATTGGCGAATGTGAATGGCTAGTTTTGAAGGGAGACGTGTTGAGGTTTTTCAAGTTTTCAATGAAGCTCTGAGAAGTTTTAAGGAAATGGCGATTTGTATATGGGTGCACTGTCGGCACTATAGTTGCTCTGATCATCGAACGAGAGAAGGAACTTAGTATTCGGTGTTTTTTGCCCCGTGTTTTTCTCAAACGATTTTTGCATTTGCAACCAATTTAGAGCGACAGTCCTTCCAACTGATTTAATTTTTCATTCGAGGCTGTTTTTCGTCAATTAGTTTGCTGCGATTCAAAAACTCTCGTGAATGCCTGTATATTTTTACCCAAAATTGTTGGCCATGTAGTTCGCCCTCTAGAAGTATTTGTGCTGCCTCTAGAAGGATTTTCGATAGAACTGTTGTTTTGGGACATTGAGCTGGCGATTGCGGTTTATGAGTAATGCTCTTGTCAAAAATCTGCAAATTGTGGGCAACAGTGCTAGAAATAGTTTCATTGGACTCAGAAAACTTGTAATGAAAATGGTTTGTCAACGCCAATGGGTGCCCTCCACTGGGCTTTGAAATTATATGAATGGCATTCAAAGTTCTTTTTTAAATGGGGTAATCAGGCAGCAAATTGCCTGAATTAATCATTTATGATTAATGATAATGAATGTTTATATGGCACTTCTCGTTGCAGATATTTGTGTTTGTTCTTTGATAGTTTGTGAAATATGAGCCAGAGAAAATCAGTCAAGCGTAAAAGGGAATCAGTGTTGCGGTGCTTGACCAACATCGGCCGGAGCAACCCCGATCATGATTCATCGTTGGAAGGAGCTGACGAAATCCCGTTGTCTAGAAGGGTACGCCTCGAAGCAGCATTAGCTCCATTGAACTATGATACTTGGGGGGAAGCATACAATGGAAATTTTTCTCAAATGAACCGCGAACCTGGGAAATGTAGCAATTTAATAACGACGGAGTGTTGGCCCGATAAAGAGCTTTGGAACGAATCATCTTCATCGGGTAGGGGTACTGCTAATGACTCCAGAAGTCTCGCTCGGAATTGTCAATCATCCACACATGAAAAACAACCAAGCGAATCTAACGTTCCAGTAACGAAGTTGTCGCAGATATTTTGTCCAATTCGAAAAACACAACAAAAACCGCTGGCTAAATCAAAAAGTTCTGATTTCTCATGTCTGACTCTACCAGGAAAGTCTTTGAGTGCTGGTATTTCGCGTGAATTGGTTGAGCCAACGACGTCTAAATTCGATGCTCATCCAGATTTGGTTCCAAACACTCAGAACCTGATAAGCAATGCCCCTCGCAGCAATGATTGCTATCGGAATTCTTTAGTTCCGCTGGCACAATCTTCTCCTCTTGACGATAAACGCCCGAAGTCTGTAGTTCCTGTGGTAAAATCATCTTCTTTTGAAAGTCGGAACAGAATTCTACCTTTGGGTCCAACTGCTGAGCCATCTCACGCCAATGATGCAGGAATGTTGTTGGATAAATTCCCAAAAATGTCTATTCAAGCAAGTTCTGCTGATAACGACGAGTTTCTAGGCTCAAGAACTAAGAAGGTTTCTCAGGGAAAGGAGGTCAGAAAAAGATATAAGAAAACAATTTCAAAACGTGTTAAAGGGATGCGAGATTCAATCACGGCCATGCGGGGTAGCAAATATGGAAGTTCCGATGAAGGCATTGATCTGGATCAGAAAACGCGTCGTCGTCCTCTACGGTCGCATGCCGATTCAGGGTCATCTAATAGCTACAGTGGCGAGAGCAATGAAGCAGCATCCGAATCCGATAGCCTTCGCGCCAATAGTGGCATAAAGTCCAGGAAAACCAAACGGTCATTTTGGTCCCGAGCTTTTTCTAAATCTCCAAAACTAGCTTCTAAAACACCCAGGCAGGTTCCAACAATCGCAGTTTTGCGCGGAAAAAACCAGGATGACCTTATCACGTTTGATAATTTTGATCATGATGGTGCTGCGAGTAACGTACCGCCTGTAAGCGGCTCGGGGTTGATACATAATTGCTCTCCGACTAATCTTGTGCAGCCGAATATTAATCTTACTCCTTTCGTAACGGCGACACAATCATCAAGTCTAGCAGAAGTGCCTTCAGCTGTCGCATTTCTTTCTAGTGCAACAAGCAGGCAAATTGATCCCATTCAAAGTTTAGAATCGGTTACTAACACGAATGAACAGTTCGCACTGAGAGATTTTAACGGCAGTGGAAGCATAGTTCGCGATTTTTATTCGCCGGATTATAGAAACAGAAGAGATAGAAGGCTCGATTTGCGCTGGAGAACTGGTCGAGCATATGGGAATGGTTTCGGAGACTTCGGGTTAAGGAACTTGAATTCCATTTCTGCGTCTTTCACTTCGGATTTGGACCTTTTTACACGTACAGCCACTCCTTGGCCAACTTCAGGAGCTCATAGATCGAGTAATGCAGCTGCCTACAATTTGCCAACTAGTTGCAATGACTCAGACGAGGAACACGGTCAAGATTTTTAGTAGCTGATGTGGATGTATCTTGAAGCGCAAGTTGAACCGTTTTTCTTTTTCATCTTCAGAGGATTCTTGGTCCCCAGTCTGGTGAGAAAAAAGGCTTGTAGTTTATTCGTATTGGTTCTATGTTATTTAGTAACTTTGCTGGCTTGTTGATCTCTTTAGCCGGAACATTTTGTGGGATGATCCCAATGTTATATCCTAATTGGTGCTATTTTAAAGTCTTAATCTGGAATTAGACTTTATGCTAGTTTAGTTTTCATACTAGATTTTAATTCACTTTTTTAAAACTGGCCTTTTCTATACTTTCAATTAGTTCGAAAAAGATAGTAATTTTGCTTTCCGATTTTTAAATAATTTGCCTTTTTATATCTTTGCTGTGTTTCACAATATTTGAATCGATCGGACTTGCCGCTCAGTACAAAAGCGTTCTGCACCAAATCGAATGTTTTTTTTTGGATTATCACGCGATGTCTGGGCATAGGGGTGGATCTAGGTTTTCCGTTTTTCTCGGGGGGGGGGGGGGTGGTTGGTTGGTTGTGATATGTTGTCGATCTTTTTTTAGGTCGACTAATAAAATTTTCTAAGCGTTTTTGAGGTTTTGCCAAAAAATTTTAACAAATAATTTATGTTTTTTTTTCGGCGCGAGCTTTCGTTGAAAATTAGTATATATTGTCTGGGCTGTCTTTTTATTCTGTTAAACAACGAACTAGTTTTTATGGTGGTTTTAATTTCAGTTCTTTTCATGCAGTGGTCTCCTTTTAGAAGGAAGCATGAGTCCTATTGTTAAAACATCAAAAAATAGATTCCTGTGTTACTAAATATGTCCTTGGAATTTAGTTTCGGATGTTCAGTTGTGACTGGGCTGGAAAAAATAACTGTCGAAGAACTGAATCAAAACCTAAATTTGACGTCTCAAATTGATTCGCGTCGTGGAAAAGTATTCTTCAAGCTGTCTTCACTTGCAAATGTTCATGAGCTTACAAAATTAAGAAGCGTAGAACATGTTTTTTCAGTAGTTCACACACGGGAATCTGAAGATGTTTACGAAAATACGGAATTAGCTGAAAAGTTTTTCATGCGACTGCCTGATAGAATAGATTGGACCGAAGGATTGAAATCATGGGGTGCCTACTACGACAAAAGTGGTTTTGATGTCGATAAACTAAAGCAGAAATTTGTACTACCGGATGATTATAAACCACTATTTACAAATGGACGTAAAAGGAAAATAACGGGAGTACCGGCGTTTCGAGTCACCGCGAGTCGTACCGGTGAACGCGAGGGAGCGTCTCCGACTAATGGAGCTCAAGTATCGAATGACGAGTCGAAAAAACATAGTTTTACTTCGGATCAAGTTGCGAAATGGTTTGGCGCTGCAGTCAATAATAAGTTTGGCTGGCAGCCAAACATGAAAAATTTCGACATGGAGATAATCATATACGTGAATGATTCGCGAATACTCGTAGGGTTACTCTTAACTCATGAGGCCTTGCATCGTCGTAACATTTCGGCTTTTGGCCACACAACATTGAATAGTACCATTGCATTCGGATTAGGCAGGATGTGTAATTTAAAAACTGGTGACATTTTGATCGATCCTATGTGTGGCTCCGGGGCTATTCCTATAGAATGTTGTGCATACAGAAAAAGTGATATTTTTGGAATCTCATCCGAAATTTCTCACAATCCCGCTGAGAAAGCCAGGACTAATCTTGAGAAGTATCCAGAGCTGGTCGGGCTGAAAAGAGGACTTTCGATGGATGTGGCTAGATTTGATGCTACTTTTTTGCCTTTGAAAACAGCTTCTGTGGATGTTGTGATTACAGATCTCCCTTTTGGTTTGAGAGTTGGATCGAAGAAGAGTAACGAAGAACTTTACCCGAAAGTGCTTATGGAAGCAGCTCGTATTGTAAAGCCAGCTTCTGGTCGTGGTGCTTTCCTAACTCAGGATAAACGAAATTTTATCAAAGCGATCACTCATTGCAAGGGTTACTGGTACGTTGCAAACAATCCACATATCAACATGGGAGGCATGACTGCCGCAATTTTTGTTCTAACCCGAACTAAAAAACAGTTTTTGCAAAATGATTTTAAAAATCTTGAAGCCGAAGTAAAAGAACACCACGTGGCCAGTAGTGTAGGCAGCAATGGTTACGAAGCCGATATCGCTAGCTCTTGTATCACTGTTGAAAGTTCGAAAGATAACAACTCTCAAAGCGAAGAAGTCAGTTCATCAGCTGGTGCGAGTTTAGTTAGTGGAGAGGATACCGTTTTCACAGCTGTCGACGAGGAGGAGAGGAAGAAACAGAACTTGTCGTTCGTTTTAGACTCAACCTCTCAGGAGTCAGTTGAAAGTTCATATGGCTGAAATTGAAATTGCTGGCATTTTGTTTATTAATTGTTACTGGAGTTAGTTTACTTTAAAAGTTGTTGCGCCCAGATTTGTTTTGATTTGAATTGAGTGGATTGATACAAGCATGGTTCAGCTAAAAAAATGAAAATATTTTGCTAACTCTTGCAATAATTTCCGAAGGCAATTTGATTGCTGCTTCAAGACAATTGTACTAAATTCGTGGAAATATTAGTTTGTTTTAGAAAATATGAACTACGAAGATGAAGCAATCGGATTAGCGTTCCTGTACAATGCCGCTCTTTTGATGTCCGATCAGGCGCCGTTCGTGGCACAAACAGCTTTGCAGAAAATCCATGATAAAAGCTCCAAAGTGATGACCATTTACCTTCTTATTTGACTATTTATCTATATAAATTATTAAGAAGGCGTCAACTTGACTGACATTTTTGAGAAACTTTGATATTAGCGCTTTAAGTACCAATATGATGTTTCTTTTAAACAGTTCGAGTCACAAGTTTAACACGAAAAGTTACCATACTTGTGTCTAACTAGACAACCAGGATAACTACCAGATTAATCTAAGTCGAAAGTGATATCCTCCCACCAATGTTCATGCGAATCAAAATTTTATTGGGTGTTTAATGAGTCTTTCTTCATTCTTCGTGATACACGAATACTCAGGTTTCTACTTGCTTTAAAAAGAAATCTACTTCTTTATAACCCTTGCGATAGAAGCAAGGGTGTTGCAACCGGTGTACTAGACTTTTTCCCCGTAAACATCCCCGTTCACAAATTTGCAGAATTTTCATCTTCCTCAATATTATTTTTAAAATCAATCTACCACGCAGAGAATCTGGCGTAGAGGTCGCACACCTACTCGACGACAACGGCTTGTGGTTCTAATTTGGCCCGGACCTGTTTTTTTTTTAAAACTAGAAAGTTTTTGCCTTGTCGGACTATCGTCCGTCTTTTTGTTTTTTTTTTGTCTTAATTTCAGCAGCAGCGCAGACTATTTTTAAAAGTTCGGCTTTCTTCTAAATTCCTGAATGCCACTTATAAAGCCCCATTGATGGAGACAATTGAGTTAAAAGATCTTTTGCAGAATTTTTTTTTTTTGAAAAACTTGATCAAAATTTTTCCTATAAAATTTTTTAAAAGATTTTTTTGTTCTTTTTTGCTTCGTTCATAAATGTGCAGTAAGTTATCATGTGTCCGATTATTGCGATACAGCATACATGATAGATGAATAAGTTAACATCTGATTATGCGATTAGCAAGCGTTATCAATTCGGAGACTTATTTTTGTAAACAACTTGTCCAATAAAGCAATATATCAAACCTGCCCTTTTGTCAGTCAACAGACAGATATCGAGCATGTTTGCATTTTAAAAACACGCTCTACTCAATATTTTAGTTTAATGTTGGTTGTAAATTTACCATTTCGGATTTGGTATAATTCCTTGGTTTTATGGTTTTTCTTGTTTTATGTTTTCTTGGCTTATAAGTGTTTTCGGTATGTATTTATCGGCTTTGTGGCATCATATAGCATCTTTGGATGAGTTAAACAGTTCTCCTATGCGTGTGAGTTTTTGCCGGATTAATTAAAATTTCTTAGGGAAACATTTTTTTTGGCTTTACGGGTGTCTGCTCAACAATTTTCTGCTTTAATACCGCTATGTTTCAATGCAAATGCGTATTTAACCTTCTTATTAGTCGTTTTTTTAAAGGAAAATTTATTCAAGACAAAGATATGAAATTTTTGGTAGATCTAGCATCTAGCTTTTCCCGACATTTTCATTTTTTTTTCGACAGCGGCTTTCAAGTCAATTTCTATCTGCTAGTTTGTCTATTCTATGTTTGTGTTGTATCGCAAGTACGAAGCACCAGCATCACTGAAGGGAAAGCTAAATTTTTCCATGACATAAGTTTCTGCTGTAAATTTGATTAATTGATGTAAAAACTGAATAAAAAAGTAAATCAAAAAGTTCTTCCGCATTTTCAATGGTCGGAACAATTAGTAGATGAAGAACAGAGGAACAACAAAAATAGAAAAGTTATGTAATAATTGAAATGAATTTTATCAGCAGATGTCGAATTGACAAAGGTGACAATTTATTAAATGAGCGCTGTGTCAATTTAAATGTACGAATGCAATTGAAATTATTGGTGGTAGACACTCGAACGTTGTAAAATCACTTTTTTTTTGAATTTTTGTTCAAGGGGTTTCTGTTAAAGTATTTGACGCAGTGTGAAGATCTCTTTTTATTACATTTCGAATTATGTGGCGAGGTATTTCAGAGTTGTTTTTTGACGCAATGACAGGTACAAGAAATAAACGCTTGATTTCCTTTAGTTGAATTTACTGAATGTTGTACAGAAGAAATGATTTGAAGGATTTGGTTTTAGATCATTTAATATAGCGTGTGCCAGTCTTTTAATTTTTTTTCGTCTTTCAAAAAACTGCTAGAAACGCTTAAGCTCAATTTAAGCAGATGATTAGAAATGTTTAATTTCCCAGTTTGATACATTTCTCGCTCCCGCCGATGTTTTTTGGTCAATTGTGTGACTGCTTAGTTATTGCTTCAGCTCAGAATTTCTAACTCATTATATCAATCTTTTGAAATGCATATTTTATACATAATGTGCCTTTATGCTTTGCGATTTGTTGCATGCAAAGTTAGTGTGGATGCCTTCAGTTTGTTATATTCAAAGTTAATACTAAATAATTTTAAACTGCAAAATTGTGTCTGTTTGTATTTGGTGCCAATTTTGCTGAATCGTTTTGGCAATTTATTGGCATGTTTAGCTGCTTTATTCGTGACTTTTGCTTGTCGGTGGTTGCGCGTGAGTAGTGAGTTATTAGTGCGTGAGACTCAAAATATCTTCATTGCAGTAGGTCGCAGATCAAATCCTAGACTTAGTCGAATGTTTGCTAATTCGAGGCTTATTTTTTATTGCACTTTTTGTTGTGTTTTTGCTAGTGTTTGCGTTTGGGTTTATATCGGCTCAGTCGCCTAGTATTGCATCATTTGAAGGGCGTCAATGAAATTTTATGCTGCGGGCGTTTTGAAGATTTATTGCTGATTTTTCGTGGCATAACGGCTCAATGGGCGTGAACCTAAGTGTTGTCGGCTTCAGGGTCAGCAAATAGTTGGTAATTACCGACCAGTTGGTATTTTTTCAAATATCGGTAATTTGTGTTGATCAGCTATGTTACTCGATGAAAATCAGGACAAACAAGATCACACACTCTTGCCTTCTCTTGTGATTATGATGCTATTCTGTAGCCATATATAAATATGTGTTTTCTGTGATTAAGTTCAGTTTTTTAGCAGAGATATAGTTTTCGAGCAAATGTCAGAACGGTATTTTTCCGAAAAAAAGTTGTCAGCCTGATCGTCTTAGTTGCTGCTAGATAATTTATGCCTGAATGCTAATTTTTCGCTGGCAATTGTGTTTCGAGACATGTTTTCTTCTATTTGAACTTCATTCGTCCAGGCAAACGTATAAACAGGTTATTGGAGTATACAGCGTTTTTTGTAACATTTTTCAGTAATTTTTTTGGCTGATTGGCTTTCGTCTTGTTTTTTGTCTGCTAGTTTGCCCTGCTTGGGATGTATATCATGTGATGGGAAGCTATGCGTGGTCTCCTTGTTTATAATGGAGCAAATTGGTCACAAATTTTGGGTTGCTGCCAAACTAACCGGTTAATCTTGTTACTTATTGCGATTTCACATCTTAGTTTTTGGTAAGTTTTAGTTCTTTTGCGGCTGGATCCAGCTTTAGCTTGAAAATAAAACGCATTCGAATGGATTATCTTTGTTTTTCAATTATACCCGCATTATTTGAGTAGCTAACTTGAAATAATGCCGGATGACTGAAATTATTACCCGAAAGGCAGTAGGCTTTGGTTATCAATGCCAAAGAAAAGTAATTTTTAATAGTTCTTATGGTCATCACTGATTTCAACAGAGCTACAGCCATCTGTGCAATATCAATGGCAGACCCCAAAGCGCAGGTAGATCGTGTCAGTTCTACAAACACCCTCAGTGCCCAAGCTGTTTATGCTTTATTGTTTTGGGAGAAACGTGCAAAATTACACCATCAGAAAATGATGAGAGTTTCATAGTGAAATGCTTCTTTTGTAAGAAGAAGACAGAAGTCCAAGTGGGAAGTCTGTCTCTGCGGTTTAATGCAGCAAACTACTCGAATGGTCAACAGTCCCTTAAGAGAAGTTTTCAGAACGCGACGCAGCATTCAATTATTAGAAAAAGTGTTGGGACAAAAAAGAAGAAACTGCTTTTGAACAATCTTTTTAGTGGCTAAACTATATATCGTTTTAATAGTTTAATCAAAACTTGTGTAATGATATTCACCGCTATTGGGGCAATAAAATTGCGTATAATTAGTTTTTTAAATTTTATGCGTCATTAAAATTCAATCTCAAAATCAATTTTATTAAGAGTCATTGAACGTAGTTCAGACTCTTATATAGGCGCTGATGATTTTTTTCCGGGAAAAGTCTAACATATTTGTTCAAGCTCAAATTTAATTTTTCGTGGTTTGACTTATGATTTCTGTTTAAGTTCAGTTCATTTCGATTTCTGTTTAAGTTCAGTTCATTTCCATTTTGAAAAGGAAGGCAAATTCCACTATCAAACAGCAAAAGTGCGAAGGTCACGAAAAACTTGATCGACTTCTTGGAATTTAATTTATAGATTTCCCTGCTGATAAAAAATTTACCTATAGATCCAGTTTTTTTTAATTGGGTTGGTTAGATTAATCAAAAAAGCGTCAATCCTAAATTTTTCTAGAAATTCAAAGAGCTTTAAATTCATCTATTTTTTTCTTTAAAATTGTTGGATGCAAGTTGAGATTTTTCGAGAAGTTAGTCATTTTTTTTCTGTTTGCTTGCATTAATTGACTATTTTCCAACTGTATGTTGGCTATATTTTCAATTATGAATTATGTTTTCAGATTAGCTTGAGAAAAGTAGTTTAAAAATGATTCTCTGACGTCAGAAAGATCAGTAATTGTCGAATCTTGAGGAGCTGACAATTTCTCTCAGCATCTTCAAGAGTGCACAATATCACACACTACCCCGAGGAGTAAACACCTTTCTCAGCATCTTGAGGACCTGACAGTAGGGCTATAAAATGGCAGTATGGATTCTGATTGGGGAGATGTTGTTGGTGCTGGCGTTGACCACAGCCTTGCTGCACAAGTACGGAGACTGGAGGAGACAACACCTGGTGGTGTCTGCGGCTACTCTGGTGGCGTGGTACTTCTCGTTCAGTATTGTGGCTATTCTGCCGATTGATGTGGTGCAGGTTGGTGAAGTATTTAAAAAACAATATTCGATGAAATTTAGCCAAAAATGTTTTATCATGAGGAAAATTGTGTTATTTCTAATCTAGCTCGTAACTTCCATGGAGTTAATAGCCTTTTATTTGATAATTTAACAATCTATGAAAGACTTCAATCATAAATATGTCACGGAAATACTTATACTCCTTAAATAGTTCCTCTTCATGGGCATCTGCTTGATAATTTTAAGATGCAGTGATGGGACATTTCAAATAATGTTAACTTTTTTATTCTTGAAATCCGCATCATAATGTATTGATTAATTCATATTTCGGACAGGTTTGCTGACCAAATTGTTTAAATACTTCCCCTAATTGAAGAATCGATACGATATTGCCATTTTAGACCAACTACAAGCAATGTTTGATCAACTACGAGAGCACTTTGAACCAGTCTTTAACGCGTTCAAGACGCAGCGGGTTGCTAGCTGAAAAGGATGCTCTAATTAACCCTCTTTCAACGACACAAATACCCACAACTGCAAGCGCTAACAGTTCAGTGTTGCCAATATCAACTCCTGTACCTCAACCACATTCTCCCTGTGCAGAGCCTTTCACAAACGTGGACGATGACGTCATCAAAGCAATGTGGCTAGTGGTCTACTGGTCCTCATTTTTCCTAACGTGGCTCATTTTGCCATTCATGCAGTCTTACAGTATGGCAGGCGAGTTCACAGTCCTCGGGAAGATGAAGAGATCCCTGATTGAGAATGCAATTTTCTACGGCAGTTATTTGGCGATTGTGCTAGCACTGGCAGTGTATCTGCTAGTGAAAGGAGAGCTGAAATTCGACAAGTACATTCATTTTTGTTTGTTTTATGGGGATTGTCAGCTTAAAGATGGAATGTTTTATCAGGCTTTCATTAATCGGTCGTGCTATGGCACCGATCGGATCTTTTGACATTCGGAATTGGAGTTTTTTCTTATGAGAGCTGATAGGATTGTAGGGGTGTTTCCAAATTAGTTTCCTTCATGTTCTGTTTGATAAAACTGTTATGAAAATGTAATGGATGGGGTTTTCTTGAGACAATTTAGAAATTTTCTTCGCTTTCTGCAAAAAAAACCTTGTCTCTCTTGACCAAGCTCTACTCCCTGCGGCCTTGGGTTCGGCTCCAAGGGAGTTCCTACCCATTTTTTCACTTCGTCCGTTTTTTTTAATGCGACTCTACTTAAACTGAGATTAAGGGTATTTATCTCCCCTGCATAAGAGGTTACTTCCTAATTTCGGCAGGGAAACGCTATGGACTTGAATGTTTTTGTAAGAGGCAGTAACTTTTTCTTCGTGTTTAGAGAGTACCTGAAGACTCTAGTGACGACAGCTAGCAACACGTGGGGTCTGTTTTTCATGGTTCTCCTCATGGGCTATGGGATGGTGGAGGTGCCTAGGTATGTGTGGGATCTCTCCAGGAGGGAACACAGACTGCGGAGGACCTACTTCCAGGTGGCTAAGCTGCATTCGGAGAAGAGTGATGCCACAGAGACACTGGAAGACGTACTGGACGTAAGTGATAACCATTGCCAAGCTGTTTGTATGTAGAAAAAAATTGAAGAAAAACTTTTGTTCGAAGATAAATCTTTGCGGAACCTGGGATAATTCACTTGTAACCGCAAATAGATTCATAAGCTTGAATGTCGCGTCTGTAATACTAGTCGATATCGATGCATTTTGCCGTTTGCGCCAATATATTTTCTCAATAGAAACGTTTGGTTACTTTGTTGAAAATGAAGAAATTGGTCCTGTGTTTCAGAACATCAAAGATGCCCATGCAGAAATCCCTCAATCATCTTTATTCTATCCCAAATTGCAAATCGTCTTATCCAAGGTCAGTTTTTCAATCTTCTCCACTTAAAAAAAGTTTTCGTTGTTTTTTATATATATTAAGTACCAATAATTCAGCTTGATAGTCTGAATTATTGGTACTTGAAAATTGATGGAAGTGTTTTGTTGACTTCTAACTTTTAGAGTCCTTCTAACTTTCAAGACAGACTAAAGTACAGACCGGGTGGAGGCATATCAACTCCTCGAGGGGGTGCAATGGGAGGCAGGAATGAAAATGGGGGTAATGGGGACTACGCGAACGAGAGGAAGTTGGTCGGGCTGCATAAGAAGCTGTTAGTGGCCAGACAGAATCTCTGGCGTCTGGAGGCGAAGTGGGAGGCACTGCTAAAGAAGGCATTCAAGTTGGAAGATATAGTCAAGAGCAAGAGTAGTGGGACCAGGTTTGTGCTACCAAAAGAAATTCAAAGAATGTTTTTAAGTTGTTCTTTGCCTGCCTAGTAATATATTTCGAAAAACAGAAATGTACATTTTCGAAGCCTTTAATTGCTGTCTGGTTTTTTGAATTCTTTCAATTAACTTCTTTAAACTTCGTCAAATATGTTAAAAAGCTAATCAATTGATGCTATGTTTATCGATGATGTGTCATATGTACTGGGAATAGTTTTTGGGGCCTTAGACTAAAGAGTGAGCCAAGGCTATTCGTCTCAAATGGTTACCACCTTTTTACGCTAGCGAGCAGCCAGTGTTTTAGTACGAACCTTCTTTTTTCTAACCTAACTCGCAAATAAAAGTGTTCACTTGTGAGCGTTTTTGCTATAATCACGATATATTGCTTTGGAAATTTCATAGCATCTGTTCTCTGCTTTTTGTGATCGATAAGGCGTCCGTGTCTGAGTGGTTAGTGCGTGAGACTCATAATTTCTAGGTCGCAGTTTACTAGTTCGAGGCTCATTTTTGTTTTTTCTTATCGCAGTTTTTAGAACGCTAGAGCTGCTTTTTGGCGTGTTCTTGCTAGTGTTTGCCAAGCTAAGCTTCGCCTATGTGTTAACCCTAAACAACTAAACACCATAAAATTTCACTCCCTACCTTTTGTTGCCTTAGCAATTTAAAGCCACAACATTGAAAAACTATTTCTAAATTTTCCAAAATGAAAAGAGAACTTACTTCAAAGGGGACTTCGGTAAACATTAAGGAATAAGGCAACAAAGTTTTGGCCATTTAAGGCCAGACATTTTCGCGCTACCTAATTCGCGTAAATTTTGAATAGAAATGACCTTGCCAGTAATTACACCGAAGACTTTAGTCAAGGTGTTATGGTATCGTGTAACGGGGTTTTTTTTTTAATGTTGTCTGTTGTCAAGTGTCGACAAATAACGTCCACAGTTATCAATTATCATGTGGGCTGGACTATATCGCGCTATGTCACGTGATTGCGTATGTTTGTTTCTTTATTTGTTCATCTTTATTTATTTAATTATCTGTTCTTCTATTTATTTAATTATGTTTAGTTTGCTTATATTTATTTATAATTTATGTATGTACATATTTTTTTTTGTTTATTTTTATCACGTGTTTTGTTTATTTATTTAATTATTCTTTCTTTCATTTAGTTTTGCTTTTATTATTTCTGCGTGTGTATTTATTTAATTTATTTATTTTCATTTATTTATATTATGGGTCTGTTTGTTTGGTTATTTGTTCATATATATTTTTTCATGTCTATTTAATTATTTGTACATTTCACTTTTGCTTTTATTTATTTATTTATTTATTTATTTATTTATGTATTTATTTATGTATTTATTTATTTATTTATGTATTGATTTATTTTTTTATTGCTTATTTATTTATCAGGTGTGTTTTGTTTATTTGTTGATATTTATTTCTATATTTATTTAATTATTCTTTCTTTCATTTAGTTTTGCTTTTATTATTTATGTATGTGTAATTATTTCATTTATTTATTTTCATTTATTCAGATTATGGGTCTGTTTGTTTGGTTATTTGTTCATATATATTTTTTCATGTCTATTTAATTATTTGTACATTTCACTTTTGCTTTTATTTATTTATATATTTATTTATTTATGTATTCATTTATGTATTTATTTATTTATTTATGTATTGATTTATTTTTTTATTGCTTATTTATTTATCAGGTGTGTTTTGTTTATTTGTTGATATTTATTTCTATATTTATTTAATTATTCTTTCTTTCATTTAGTTTTGCTTTTATTATTTATGTATGTGTATTTATTTAATTCATTTACTTTCATTTATTTATATTATGGGTCTGTTTGTTTGGTTATTTGTTCATGAGATATATATTTTTTCATGTTAATTTAATTATTTGTACATTTCAGTTTTGCGTTTATTTATTTATTTATTTATTTATTTATGTATGTATTTATTTATTTATGTATTGATTTATTTTTTTATTGTTTATTTATTTATCAGGTGTGTTTTGTTTATTCGTTGATATTTATTGCTATATTTATTTAATTATTTTCTTTCATTTAGTTTTGCTTTTATTTATTATTCATGTATGTATTTATTTATAATGATTTTTAAGTAAGGAGAGAGAATGAAAACCTATCTCTCTTCTAGAAGTGTTATTTTATGATCTTCGTTGATATATCAAAAATTTAACCTATACATGTGTTAGTACGATTTTTAGTTCTAGAACTGTTATTTCAGGCTCTTTCTCGATGTAGCAAAATTTTGGTGTATACATGTATTAGTACGATTTTTTGTTCTAGAACTGTTATTCTTCAATTATTAGTTGTTCAAGTTGTTTGGTTTTTGCTTCAGTTTCTATGCCTTCGGTGTATTGCGCGTAGCGCCTATGTTTCGGATTGTTAGAATGATTCGAACCAAAAACGAGCAATCTGTCGACGAACTTCAAAGGCTCGCAAATAATTACACGAGCTTTGACTAAAAATGGCGTAATTTTCCAGACGTTTTCAGTCGGTACAGCAATTTTTAAAAAAAGTTCGATTAATGCCTAAAAGCTAAAATGTTTTTCAATTTTTGACTCATTCTTGAGCTTGACTTTCTAACACCATCGCTTTGGTCAGCTTTTTTTGAGTTGTTGGCACACAAACGCAAAGCTTAAAGCGTTGCTTGCCCCTAGTCCCAGCCTGGCATCCCGAAAAAGGGAGGTTGTCATAGGGTTGAATTGCTAATGCACGAGTCAAGTTCTTGCGTTTAGTACGTTTCCCGGGAGTCTGCAAGGAAACGTGTCTTCAAAAAAGGTGAACAAAATTTCAGCCGGAGTAAAATCTGAGTTTTATAATACAATTATAACACACCAAAATGAGACAAAACTTACACTGGTTTAACACAAGCTATACAATGCTCTGAAAAAGTACAGATTGGTTGTCTTTGTTAATAATGGACATCTGTTTTGGACTCTTTCATTTAGTTCGCGGTTCTTTTTCTTTGTGAATTAATTGCCACTCGATGCATTAAAAAAGAAGTTCATTTTTTGTCGGAGTATTTTTTTTGCATTCTGCCTACTACTTTCGACATAAAAGGGTGCGCACGCTGAAATATGATTGGACGCCAAAATGCCAACCTTTGACAGCATTATTGTCCTAGCAATCCCACTCACTGGCGCATCTCGATGGTTCCAAAGGGAGGTTGTGAGTAAGACTTCACGGTTTGACACCATACTTTTTATATAAGTAATGCCAAAGTTTAGACATAACTTGGTCAATTTCTTCTTTTTTTCCGGGTTCTACACAGTTTTTGTTGCATACAGGCCGAGTTTCCTGAACGATCATATCATATGACTCGCCGATCTTTTCTTTTTTTCAAATGCGAGGGAATATGGCATTTTTAAAAAACAATGCTTAGTTGTGATTTGTTTTGCAGTTTACTTTGAGACCCAGTTTTTGATTTTTCTCATGAAACTATGCGAGAGATGGAGAAAACAACCTGATAATTGTGGTTCGATAATTTTTTGGACTGACTGATGAGCAGCTTGCTGAAAAACTAACAAAAACATGTTTTCAGACCGGCAGTTTGGTGCTAAATTAATCAAAGCCTGAAAAAATTGTCGTCGTTTTTTTCCGCTTTTGTTATGAATGAAGATGTATATGCCAGCTGGCGCAATACCAGATACTGACACGAATTGAATG